CCCACCTACGATTATAGATCCCGGGGTCACATGTGCGTTGAACATAACTTTCGTTTTGTCCAAGTTCATCCTGAGACATACTCACTATGAAGAATCGTTTAAGCCGTTCATCATCTCGCCGAGCTCTTGGAGAGATTTCGCCATAATAATAATATCATCTGCAAATTGAAGACATGAGATGTACTGCCCGTCAATGTTGAAGCCCCGTCTCTCCCACTCGAGCATCTTGAAGACGTTCTACAGCGCGTTAGTGAACAATTTCGAAGAGATGATGTCTCTCTGTCTCACTCCACGACGCAGTTGAATTGGTCTTGTGCTTTGTCCTTGGATTTGGACGGTCATCGTCGCTACAGCGTAAAGATTTCTCAACACTTCGATGTAACGGCAGTCAATCTGACATCTCCGCAAGGAGTCCAGAACAGCCCAAATCTCGATGGTGTCGAAGGCTTTTTCGTAATCCACATACGCTAGGCACAATTGTCGTTTATATTCTTCGTTCTTCTGAATAATTTGCCTCAATGTGGTCTACTATACTGAATTTGCGCGAATTTGCGGGCAAGACGACTCGTGACAATCCTCGAGCACAGCTTATATACATGACTCAGGAGGGAGATGGGTTGATAATTTTTCTTTTCTAGTTGATAATCTTTTTTTTTCTAGAAGGGTCTTGACCCCCTTTTTGAAAAACAGGACCACCACGATTCCGAAATAGTGCCAGTGTTAATAATATTACTAATAATTTATTTATCTCAATGCTTTCATTTTATTAGGCAATCACAACAAATACCTGGTTTCCAATTAGGGCATTCTCTATGCCCCAGGCGGGGTAGTTCCGTTGGTCTAATATGCTTATAAAGCAACGGAACGGACACTACTCAGAACAACCAAACCACAACTAATTTAGATAATAGGAAATGAAACTATTTTTCCGGATTTAAATCGCGTATATTTGTTGAAAAAACGGAAAAATAGTTTCATTTCCTATGTGTAACAACCGCGAAAACCTAAGAACTCGATAATTTAGATAAATTAATTACTTTTTGGGGCTCTAACAACTTACCTATTACTGCCGCCAAGCATTAACGAAAACATTACTGCGTTCCAGTTTTGAATAGTAAGGGTGCTGGTGATATTACAGGCACATAGGACTTGTCAACTTATGTCTCAAGGTGATGGACTCGGCGGCAGTGCCACTCACAAACTAAAAAGAGATACTATGCCCCTCAGGTCTTGTGGCACTGCAACTGCTATGGACAGGAATATCGCTTACTACCAGGCGCACAACCTGTTCGTCCCATTACGTGGTATCATAATAAAGGCTCAACGACAATAGCACCTTCTTCCTGGTGAATTCACCAAGATGGTTTAAAAATTAACCATATGCAGAATATGTGTGTAAAAAACACCTCCTTACGTGTTAGACTTCGAAATATGATCAAAGTATAACTGCTACTTTTAAAAACCATCGGCCAAATTGACATAGGCACAAAACACAAAAAATTAATACTACGTTAACAAGAATTTTGCATTTTTAATGCGTAATTAGTCAAATAACACAAAAAGTAATAACCAATATATTTTATAATCTACGATGAATAACTTGTTGTAAAAAATGCATGGTCGCTACGAGTAGAGCAAGCGAAACATGAGCGAAATTTTATAGTGAATAAAGAATAAAATAAAATGCATGCTTAGTTCAAAATCGCTGCCTTTATGCAATACTGCGTTATTGTATGAAGCGACTTTTTCTTGGTTTTTTATTTGTAGAAGAATTCTGTTCACCCTTACATTGACTTGAGTTGCCAAGGTTAAGAGATCCATGTCTAAACGTAAATTAATACACTTGTAGAAAAGATACGACCGTATACCTGCTGACGATCGTACTCATGATATTGGTTCTTGTAGGTACAAAATGCGCAAATTTCTCCGGGGAAGCAAAAGGGAATAAGCATGGGATGAGGCATGCTCATGGACATATTTATAAATGCTAAAAGAAGGTTGAATTATGGTAACAAAGTTCATATGAATCACTAGCCAGATATAACAGAACGTTTAATTTGAAAAAAGTATGACTTCACAGACCACATAAATGTTTATGACTTCAATAGTCTTTCGATTTCTATTAAAATATGTTCAGTGCACCTTTTATCAAAACTTACATGTTATTTATTACAAGTCTATATAATGTTCACAAGTTACACTTTACAAGAAAGTTTTTACAACCTCGTAGAAAATCATGATTATAAAAAACTCTACAGAACTTGTAAACTTGAACGCTTGTAGATTTATACTTGTAAAATCGGAAACCAGAATCACATTCCGCCATTTTCTTTCACCGCCAGTTTTCAATCCCTTAGCTCTTAAACAATAATAATAATAACTTTTTTATTTAGAAAATGAAACTATTTTTCCGGATTTAAACCGTTTCGTTGCGTTAGGGCCGTTTCGGGCCCTTTACAGGTGATACAGTCATCAACCAGTTATGCCTAATATCAATGCAAACCACCCTATTTTATCACTATAGTTACGAAAGTTATTAATTAAATACCTTATTTTTAATTTTACAAATTAACATTACAATTTACGCTATATTACGTTTTACAAATTATTATATTGAATGAATTTTTATTAAGTTCAATGTATTATTAATTAATAATAGAAATTAGAATAAATTAAAACAAATTAATTAGTACTGCAGTCTTTTTTTCTGGGATTTTTGATTAGAGGAAATACAGGATCCCAAACTGGTGGTACGGAGAAATCATCTTCCCTATTGAAATTAGGATGTTTTTTAACTCCAATGGCCTCTCGCAGCATCCTGGGTAGATAACGGACTTCTTTTGGAAGGACCTGGGATTTGTCAAACTTCATTGAATGTGTAGATTTATCCATGACATGCTCACAGACTGCGGACTTGTTTACGCGACGGTGTTTGACATCAGCTGCATGTTCTTTGACGCGGGTACAAATTCTTCGCTTCGTTTGTCCAATATAAGAGAGATCGCACTCTCAGTCAAGTTTGTAAACTCCTGCATCCTGTAAGGAGATGTTACTTTTCACGGGTCTTAGGAACTGAGAAATCTTCCTCAGGGGCTTGAAATAGGTCTTGATAGATGCACGCCTGAGGACTCTTCCGATCTTATCGTCTATAACACCTCTCACGTAAGGTAAAATGGCAGATCTTTGCTCGACTGTTGGCGGTTTCACACGGGGCCTGCGGCATTGGCATGGAATATTCATCTTATTCGTATATAGGACTTGCTTTATATGCTGAAGTTCCCCTGCCAGATGATTACTGTCGCAGACACTATGTGCTCTCTGAAACAAAGATTTGCCCAGGGTAGCTAACTGGCTAGGATGGTGATGGGAATGACCATTGACCATTACCACCTGTATGGGTTTTCTTTCTAAATACAGTATGGCCTAAGGTGTTATTAGGATTTCTTTTAATTAAAACATCTAAGAAAGCTAAAGTACCACAATTCTCTTGTTCCATAGTAAATTGGATCTTAGTACTAATTAAGAAAAAGAATTAAGATAGTCCAAGAAAGAAGGTATCCTATCTTTAGGTAATATTGTGAAACCCTGTGTCGCGAGTGCCATGGACACACACATAGGCAACTACAAATTACACTCAAACTCACGAGAAAAATAAATGTAGGCCATACAAATATTTCTCCCGGCCCGGGAATCGAACCTGAGACGTCTGCGTGGCAATATGGTAACCGATCGGCCACGGAGGCAGTAAATGGCTGAATGGTTGTAGTCCTTGCCTACTCTGAACGGGAAATCAAAAAAGGAGCGACGTGGGAATGCTACGTTTTAAAATTTATTTTTAAATGACTTCAAAAAAGACGGAAGTTCTCAATTTTTTTCAGTTCCCATGCAATGACAAATTAAACATTAAATATGGTCCAGCAGATATATTAGAAAAAGCACAGAACAGTTTGGAGTAAATAACGTTTTTATTAACAGAAATGGAACATTCTTAGCGCTTTCTACCCAGAGCCGGGGCAAAGATGTAGGTTGAATTGTAGGATACATTTCGGTGAGCCTTTATCCATAATAATTACAAATAGAAGGGGCATCGTAAGCAAAAAAAGACTCAGTGTACATTTCGGTAGAAAGCTACATCGCTCACATATTTTCAGTTATTTTTGAAATTACATTTTACATTTTTCCTTAATTCCTCAAAAGTATTGTATGTTTAACGTTTCATTGTTCTTAATGACTGTCTTGTATCTGCTGTACTAATAAACAAGTCACTAGCCTTAAGTATCAACTACATGAACACGATTCGTATTTTAGATAAAAAATGCAGAACATGTCACAGACGTTAAGAAAGACTGAATTTAATAATACAATAAGAATAGCATTGACCTACGAACAAAAGAACAGTTAAAAAATAAAACTTCCAAAATATGCGGTAATGATTTAAATCATGTGCTTTTTTGTTTCGTGCACTTCGCGGTTTGCGTTTGTGCCAATGCAAAACGGGGAAACTTATTAGCAGAAAATAATAGAAAAGAAAAATAAATATACATCAAGATGGGGATCAAGAAATGGGATTTAGGTTAATTAAAAATACGTAAATAAGGATAGCAAATAAATGTATAGCAGGCATGGTAAAACCTTATTTTCTATAACATCCAGAATTGTAGAAAATAAGGTTTTACCCGTTTTACCATAAAATATATAAGTATGAGGAAGATTCTTTGTAACATTATTTCTAACTAGTCATTTGTAACTAGTATATAATATTCTAAGGTTCTAATTTTTGTTTTACAGAGATTTCACTGCCCGTGCCTATGACTGCCAAAGACTACAAGTGATCTGTCTAATTGTTACATTAGCTATGCATTAGCTTTGTTCAGTGTGCTGTCTATGTCCAAAAAATTGTCAACAAACTGTTGAAATTTAAAAAAAATTTTAGTTTTAAAGTCTTAAAAATAGTAAAGAAATGCAAAATTTCGAGTAGTAATAATAATGTAAATATTGAGTATGATCATATTTCAGAAACTTTATATGTTAATTTTTTGCGCTTTCACCGCCCAACCAGGAATAAAATGTAGGCTGAATACCAGAATACATTTTGGAGAGCCTTTACCTATAATAATCAGAAATGGAAGACTTCTGGAACCAGATGACAGTTTCGGAAATGTTGAATTAACGTTTGGCGAAGAACTCGTTTTAAGCTGCGAAGGTTCAGGGTCACTAATACATCCTAATACCATAAACAACGCTGCTACATATACGCTCAGATGCGAGGGAGGGGATAATTTTAGAAACGACGAACATCTGAATGCTCCGTCCTCGTTCAACTTATTCAGATGTCCTTATTCTCCAAACCATATTAGCAGAAAAACTGAAAGAAAATGCTATGAAGGCAACACTTTCATAGAAATCGGCTACAGAGTCGACAACTCATTCTATCCTGTTTACGAAACTTGTTTTAATGAAGATGCATTCCACCCTGTCTACTCGAAATATACTCAAAGACCCTACAACGCTCATTATCAAACGAGAGTGGATAGACCATTCTTTATATCTGATGGTCTTTTCGGCTTGATACCAGTTGAAACTTTATTTTCTCCTAGAGGACAAACAGCAGCTGTAGCTGAGTTAGTTGGTCCGATGATAGATAGGTATATTTCTAAGACAGAATTTTTGTCAAGGGGTCATTTGGCAGCTAAGACTGACTTCGTATACGCATTTGGAGAGCGCGCGACATTTCATTATGTAAATTGTGCTCCTCAATGGGTAGGGTTTAATGGAGGTAATTGGAATACTCTTGAAGTGGACTTGAGGAACCATATTCATCTTTTTGGTCTCCATACGACCGTTTACACTGGGGTTTATGGAGTAACACAGCTATCTAATCAGCTGGGACGCAAAGTGGACGTTTATCTTTACAGTGATGAAAATAACAACCCTGTTATACCCGTCCCATTGTATTTTTATAAAATCGTATACGATCCTGAATCTAAGAGAGGAACCGCTTTTATCGGTATCAATAATCCGTATTATGAACCTGATGAAGCCCGTCAGTTGTTTTTCTGTGAAGACCTTTGCCGTGGCGATGAACGATTCTCTTGGCTAAGTTGGCATCCGGACAATCCTCACGAAGGATATACATTTTGCTGTACCATACCCAGCTTCAGGGAAACTATTAGACACTTACCGTATTTTGAGATCAAAGGTTTACTTACTTAGAAAATTGAATTCGAAATAATTGTTGCTGAATTTATTGGTGTTTGTACTGTCGTCAATTAATTGTACCGGGTGCATGTTTTGCAAAATAAACCATCTGTATTACGTACTTTATTAGAGACTTTCACATTTTTGGTCTACAATATGTCGTAATGTACCTACTGTTTTAGGTAAACTACTTCGGTAAATGAATTTTTGCTAACAAATCTAAAACTCTGACGGTGTATTTTTAAATGGGTTGGTACGTACTTAGTGGGGTGAACGTCCGAAGTAGATACGTAAATGTTATCAACTTGGCATACAAACGTACCTGGCTTTTGACCCTTGGGGTGAAAATGATATTTGCACCTACTGTCCCGTTTTGTAGGTATAAAGTAAGAACATCTATACTCTATGAAAGTACGTCGGTAATCCGAAACTTCGAATCTTAAAGATAAAACCGCATTATGCTAAAATTACTAGTTTGTAAATATACTTCGTTTCAATCCATTTTAAACAAAAAGTAAACAAACAAGTCACTGACCCGACATGTTTAGTGATGGCCAATTGTAATGCCAACTTCAAATCGATTAATTAATCGACCGAATCGATTTGCTTGAGTCATACTAGCGGTTTTCCTTGCACAAGCTATATAAGTATGATTGCCGAAATATTAATTTTCAATCCTCCTTCAAAACCTTACACTTAAGATAGTCGTTCGATTGCGATTAAAATTATCGATTTACTAATAGATTACATAAACTTTCATTGAATGAACCGAACGTTTTTTTTCGTAGGTACATCAGAATGCAACCATAGACAAGTCATTGCTGTATTATAGTTAAAAATTACCTCACTATAATTTTTCAAATACGATTATACGATGCTATTCAAATGAAGTCGAAATCTTCGAAATATACGTGAAAGTGTCATTTATTCGATTTATGAGTGATTGCTTTAGAATTTTAACCAAACAGTTTTGTTTACTTTTGTTTAAAATTGATTGGAACAGACTTTAGTAAGAATTCATGAAAAATACAGTTTCTGTAATACTAAATAAGACAATAATGCGATGCGTTATGGTTGAAATTCCGATAATAAAACTTGATAGTTCTTTTATTACATGCCATGCATTGTTATGTATGGGTGCTATAAGAACAATTAACAATAATACCAATAACCTACGTAATTCTATAGAGATTTCTATTATTCTGACTTTTGATTATTCACTTCCTATATTCATGTTAATTGTCTATATTAAATGTGTTGCTCTATTTATAAAGTTGGTTCTGATATGAATGCCATCCAGTTCTTGCATAGCGTTACAATACGACTGACAGTCTATAGTTGTTTGTTGAAAATAATTTCCGCAAAATGAAGCTCGTCATGGTACGTTATGGTGAAACTTTCTAAAGTTATAAAGTGTATGGCAAATAAAATTTGCAAAATGATGCTTAAAGATCAGACTATTTGATATGGAGAAATAGTTTATTTGTGATTAAAATGGACAATTCTTTTGTTAACCGACTTCAAAAAAAGGTGGAGGTTCTCAATTCAACTCAATATTCCTCCTCTAAGGGTGGCAAACTAGGGGACGAATCCGGTTTCGCGCACTTTCCGGTAACCGAATAAAACTTGGCAAATAGATGTAATTCCATGAACTTTTGAGGTCGGATTTTTTAGTACTGTGTACTGATTCACTAACGTTATGAATTGAGAAATTGAGGTACGTAAATTATTCTGTTTTTTTTTTTCAGATTCTAACTCTCCTAGTTTTATTGACAGCTCTTAGCGACGCTAAAAAAAAAGGAAAGAAGAAATCACATAAAAAGAAAACAACAGTTACAGAATCGCAAAGTACCGTACCAAAATCGACTTTGTTTCCAAAACCTGATAAGAAGATTGTTGGTGGTGACATGTCAGACGAGAAATTAACTTCCAGTAATCTAAGACTTGCGACGAGCACAAGCCTGACAACAGAAGGGGTAGCGGGGTCTAAGGGGCCGACAGGGTCAAAAGCATCTGTAGGGTCAACGGCATCTGTGGGGTCAACGGTATCTGTGGGGTCAACGGCATCTGTGGGGTCAACGACATCTGTGGGGTCAACAGCATCTGTGGGGTCAACGGCATCTGTGGGTTCAACGGCATCTGTGGGGTCTACGGTGTCAACAGCTTCTGTAGCATTAACGGGGTCAACGGCGTCTGTAGGGTCAACGGGGTCAACAGCTACTGTAGCATTAACGGGGTCAACAGCGCTTGTAGGGTTAACGGAGTCAACAGCTACTGTAGCATTAACGGTGTCAACGGCATCTACCGCATCAGTATTGTCTGGAGGAGCGATAGGACAGAATATAACGACCACCCAACAATCAAACAGTTCGAATGTAATTACAACTGATCAAAACCTTGACATCACCGATGACGACGAAATCGAGAATGAACCGTTGATAGCAGATCGAACAGAGGATAGCAGATCTAATGAACTGTCATTTATCCATGAATTTCGGAAATCCAATGATGAACCAAATTTTTTAGCGACTGAACAAGACGATGAAATGTTTACAACAGAACCAATGATAGAATTCAAAAGAAAAAAACGCCATACCAGACTATCTCGTAAAAAGAGGTAAGTATTAACACCGGTTTAGAATTTTTTAAAAACCGAAATTATTTATGGTAGGTAATTGTGGCAAATAGTCTAATATTTCCATCTCGACAGTCGCAAGAAATTAGTTAATTTTATTATATAGCATTATTCTACGATTTTTTGCATAGTACATACGTTTTATGAATGAAATTAAGAAATTGCGTGTCTTATTCCAGCGTGACCATCGTCGAATTTTTGGAAATTTGACTAGTCAGAAAAATAGTAAAGTATAAATAGTAAAAATAGTCGCTATTTAGTTGATTCTAATTGCAAAAAACTGGATTTAGTCGGTCCGCCGTTCAAAAGTTCTAAGGGTGTTTTACTGTCCACGCTGGAATTAGCTTCTTCCAGCGGCACCAATTCTCAATCTCGAGAACTACAACACCTAGCTTAGATTTAATTACACTAAAAAAGTCGTAATTTAGTCGGTACTAGTCGTAAAAAACTAGATTTGGTCGTTACGCCGTTTTGAAGTTATTAAGGTATTTTACTGTCCACCCTGGAATAAGTTTATTCCGGCGGCACCATTTTTGAATCTCGAGAACCGATCGATTGCACCCAGAAAAAGTCGTGAATTACTTAGTCGGTTCTAGTCGCACAATTTTAGAATTAGTCGCTCCTTTATTTAGAAGATATTGGATATTTAATTATATTTTACGTAGAAAAATCGAACACAATGAAAAATGTAAAGCTCCGTCCAACCGTTTATTTAACTTTTGACAACTCGAATTCTAATCCATTAGTGACGTCCTACTGCATTTCCGATTAGATTTTTTTATAACAATAGATATTGTTTATGAAGAAGTTTAAGGGTCCTATTCCAGAACTCTTCAATGCTCAAGTCAGAACTTGAGTATGATTTAGAGCACTAGAAATCATACTCAAACCCTTGCCGTTAAGGTCGTATTTCCAGTGCTTGAAATCATACTCAAGTCCTGACTTGAGCATTGAGGAGTTCTGGAATACGACCCTTGAACATCTTCATAAATAAAATCGATAACCTGAATCGTGAATGTGACCGTTTAAAAAAAAAATTGTCTGATTGGGATCGTGTGTTGCGTTGGACAATTTGTGTACTCAAGAATTAATAATTAATGTTAATAAGGATTCAAGTGATCGTTCCCGTTCATATGGAGAAGAATTCGACGTTTCTTAATAATAAACAATAAGAATTTATTTCATTAATTTATTAGACAGGTACCATTGTCCTACCAACAAATAGACGTCGGGTTCACGCTAAAAGGTGTCCGCACCTATAGGGCGTTAAAATCGCATACAGAGCGTCAAACGCGCAACAGTCTTCGTTTGTTCGACTAACAGCGCGGTTGCTAATCATGCAGTACTATATAAAGTTAAGATTACTGCAGTAGAATGTAAAAACAGGATTTTGTATCATATTCTCACTAAGCAAATATATTGCGTTGTCATAGTTTTCATTTTAAAGTGTTATTTTGTACAGATGTATAGTATTTAATTTATATATAAATGAATCGTAAATATAAATTCCAAAAGCAAACAAAATAAATAGCTAACTGTCCTTTTTCTACACATTGCATTCATAAAACATGGAAAGAACTCCATTGCATCAATTTCAAGAAGCTAAGCTATAAATACTTTTTCGTCATTTTGCACATGCGATTGAAATATTTAGAACAAAGAAAACTATAGAGTCGCTTTGATTTTAATCTTATTTTTAAATGATTTTTTATTAAAAATGAGCAATATCTAATAAAATATTGTTGTATGAGAAAATACATTTGCCCGAAATAACGTTAGCTCGAATTTTCATAATGTCAAATGTATGTTTTTAGGAATATTATAAAAACAAAAGCTAATTTTGTCTTTGTGAAAAGCATCAAAATTACTTGAAAACGTAATGCTTTTATTATATAAATCAGTTTTCGGGAATTACGGATATTTGAGTTTACGTTTAGTTGGAATATGGGTACATTTCAGAAAGTACACACTTATTTTCACATTTGTAATATTTGTATGTTATGTATCTTTCCAACTCTTTATTATTTCCTTCACGTCATTACGTTTGTATAAATTAACTTCGGACATTTTTTCTTGGTTTTTGTACTAAACCCGACGTCCATTTGTTTGACAGGTACCAAAATTTATCAACTTGAATAATCTTAGTTACATAATCTGTTGGTTCGATAAATATCGGAGCTAAAAAGCACGTCGCTTCACTAAAATTAAAAAATAAAAGAGTCTAGAAAGTATTGCGTTTTTGTCTATGGTTGTATGTCAATAATTTTAATTACGGAACTTCGAGGCATGCAGCATGTGTCAAAAGTAGTTCTCAATCGTGATCGCACTGGAATAAATCACGCAAGAAATCTTGTTTTTTTCAGAAGTAACAACATTATTGAAGAAGAAAATCTTGGGACTACTATATTCGGTTTTAAGTTCACTGGCAGCGAATCTCCACCTGGCGATAAAACGATGTACAAAAATATCAACATATGAATGAAATTAATTAAATATGTGTTACTCAATAAAAGCTAGCATATTTTCGGGGGATTTTACACGTATTTCAAACAGTATTTTATAATGATATGAACTGATTTGTTATACTGTGAGTGATAATTTGGGATAAATAAAAATACATTGTATTATACAGATTATTTTATTATGTTCTCTACAAAACTTACATTTACAGGCACCTAAAATGTACATCCTTATCCTAGGTACAACGTAATGGCAAAACAATTCTCCACGTATTTTGTTACAAAATTAAAAAGCCTATCCAAAAAAAGAGTTCCCCAGGGTAGCTTGCCGAGCCCATTCTCATAAACTATTTGGAAAAGATATAATAGATCACACAACTACGAGAAAGGGAGATTTGTTTCTTAGGCACATTTAATATATTGTCTATTTATGGGTATAAAGAAGGGAACTCCTTTCATGCGACTGCTCAATTGATCATTCTAATGAGTACGAAACATAAATAAAATATATCCTACAGGCAAGACTAAAGACAGTACTGGTAACTATCTTTCACACCAATCGAAAGAAAAAAGAACAGAATGTGATTATTGTACTTGTAGAGCTAGATTAGACTCTTTTCACATTCATCCGGCACGACTTTATAAATAAACATTTTACAAATTATACTTACCTACTTAAACAAGAACTTAAACAGAAAATTAATTCGCCAACAATTTCAAAAACGGCATTATTTATTAGACCATGGTCAGTGTGGCGAAAAATGAAACCACTATGTCTACAATTATCTAGTGCCTTATGAATGACACATTTAGAAGAATCATTCACGATGGATCACTCCAGTGTGGAGATCATGTCGCACCGAACGAATTGAAGAAAGTAAGTTTTATGTTGATCCATTGGCTTCCGCTAGATGGCGGTTATTTCTTAGTGAGTCTAAAGACGTCGTTGAGCTGTGAATACGGTGTCCGGGTCGGTATCGCGTTGTACGCGAACGACGGTTGCGCGTCCGCACGAAGAATCACGACACCTGTTAATGTCAGAATATAAATACTTAAGTACCCATTTAATATACTGAAAACGGTAATTTTAAAGGACAGGCAAGATGGAAGTTTAACGTCAAATTTGTATCAACAAAAAAACCAGTATGAAAAATGAAATAAAAGTGGTAGGAAGCGGAAAAAAATTATGATTTATTTGTTTTTATGTGTTCTTTTTTGTTTTTTTTTATGCCTAATTTTGCATAGAAGCCGATAAAACACATAAAGCTTATATATTTTTTGCTTTTATAACATACATTTCGAAAATATGTATTTTGATACCAATTGTAACACGAAGGTGATAGAAAGACAAATTTCGCCTACATTAGAAAAGTAGCATGCATAAGAAAACACTACATTTGGTTTAGATATAACAGATAGAAAATAAAGGCACAGGCAATTAGTGCTTACTGGAATGGTTATTAAAGCTATGCTTCATTACTGTCCGAACGTTCTAATTCAATTTACCCATAATCAATTTACTATTAAAATAACATCATCATGTTGGGTGCTCATTCATTTAAAGAGTTGCGTCTACACTATGAATGTAGTTTACCAATCACAATATGTATTTTATCTTTAAATAATGCAAACTTTCCTTAAATCTTTTATCCATTTTTTAATAGTGATAACTATGCTCTGTTAAACATATTACGTGTGTGGTGCTTCATACATTACCGCGACCAAGCGACTTTAAAGTGACTCCGCGCCCATGGCATTCTAAAATAATACGACACTTTCTACCTGAGGGGTTGACCTTCACTTTTATCTTCGTCTGTGGGGAGAGCACTCCATAGTCAACATCTTCGTATAGGTCCTGAAAGTAGAAGTTGTACTCCGTAAAATTTTGCTTAATTAAGTTGGCTTCCCACTGCCACGGCTCTGGTCTCACGAATCGCGCTACACTAGCTCGTGCTAACACGTGGCGGCGTGGACTCACCTGTGTATGTTCAAAGGCGCGCGGCGCGCCTCGTGGATTCACGAGCCATGGGAAGCCATCATAAGAGACGACGTGAATTTATAGTAGCGTCCAACAATATACGTTTTTTTTTTTCAAAAAACAATATCTATTTTGCATATTATTATATACGTTACATACATTAACATACGGTAATTGAGGTTCATAAAACATTTCAAACATCATTGTTGGCGTTTATACATCAAGCAATATTATCAATGTTGTTTTTTTTTTCAAAACTTAAATAACATGAAAAAAGTTTGTGTTGGGTCACGTCGAAAATGTGGAGTCAATCAATTGATCCAGTCAAGAAATGGCGTATATTTTTTAAAACGTCACGTATTTTTTTTTCAAACTGAAAATAAAACAGATAATGGCTCAACCCTTTTTTGCCTATGTAGTAGATTATAAGAGAGTTGAGTTTAGTTATTATCATGATATTATAACACTGATTTAAATATATTATGTCATAGGTCTGTCAATACATTTTAACATCGATTCTCGATTTCACTGATCATATCCCATTGGTTCATAAAATTTAACATGTGTCATTTTAACTGAGCTAAATTTAGCAGGAATATGGACATAACCTATAAAGAATTAAAAAAGCATGATGTCCGATGAAATGAGAAATTATTTTGAAACCGTTACGGTGTGAAAAAAATATAGCCTTGGATCTAAACGGTCAGAAATTCGCCCAGTTTTTCTTCAATCGTTGAATTGACAATCATCAATCCCATAGTTATTTGAAAAAAATAGAATACGGTAAACGTGCAACTTACCTCAACTCTGTATCCAGCTGGGTTGTTAAGGCCCAATTCCCTAAGCGTCACGGCGACGTCAGAGGGAGTGCCGTCGGTCCGTCTGTTAACGAACGCCACGGCGTATGAGTAGTGACTGCCCTGAATGGGCAGGATCGGGCGGGACCAAATCTCGATACCTCGATGCTGTAGAGAAAATAAATAAAATAATATGTTTCCTTATTGAGGTATACACCCATTAATAAATTTAACATTACTTATTACATTACATAACAATTAAATTGAATTAACGGAAATTTATTATTAGAGTTGTAACGAATATTCGGTTACTGTTCGGTATTCGGCGTATTCGACCTGTTTTTTGCTATTCGGCCGAATAGTGAGTAATATTCGGTATTCGAACCGAATACCTAAAAAGTGGAAGAAACAAAAAAACACAGTAAAGTATCATGTAACATTTATTCATTAATGCAATTTTCTAATTCATCATAGGAAATGTAACATACATATTTAAGTTATTTTTAATCGACTTCAAAAAAGGAGGAGGTTCTCAATTCGACTGTATGTTTTTTTTTGTATGTATGTTATGCGACAACTCCGGTATTTGTGAACCGATTTTTCATGATTCTTTTTTTGTTGGAAAGGGGGTACTTCTGGTCCCATTTCATTTTGAAGAAAATCATCCACCTCGAAGGGTGGCTGTTCATGCATGAAGATTCATTTTTATAAATAGCGCCTAACTTTAATTTAGGAGCTATTACTTTAATGGTTGATTCTGCTATTTCTCCAATTCAAGGCATTTTTCTCTCAATATACTTTGTGTAGTGTCGTAGTGAGAACCTATTTTTATTATCTTCAGTGTCAAGTCTTGTATAGTGGCAAACTAGGGGATATTTCAATAAAACTTAGCAAATAGACGTAATTCCACGTACTTTTGAGGTCGGTTTTTTTAGTACTCTGTACTGAGATTGTTAAGAGATCAAAAAAGGCAAAGAATTAAATGCAAACTACCTACTTATAATTGAAATTTAGTCATGACTAAATGAACGTTAACAGGTCAACTAAGTACTTATTATTTGTAAGCCAAATTAGAATTAAGTTTTTAAAAGTTCATCAAATTGGGCCCAAAATCTGCTAATTTTAAATCCTCTCAGTTGTGTGTCGATAGAGTGCCAATCGCAGTATTTTGTATGTACGTTTGGTATTCTGTTAAGAGTTAAGAGTATACAAAACGTACATCATCCTGCCATTGACACTATCGACATACAACTGAGATGACTTAAAATTGGCAGACTTGGGACCCTGAAACGAAATAAACAAATTTAACTTTCTTCATTCAAATGACTTAAATTTAAATTATAATTTTGAAAATGAAATTATATTTTTATTTGTCATAATTGAAGTTAATAAGTGGTAGAGGTTATGGTGCAGAAAAAATCTACTTTTTTGAATATGCGTTAATCGGGTCGAATAGTTTGGCCGAATATTCGGCTATACGGCCACACTCCTGGCCAAATATTCGGTATTCGGCCAAAGGCCGAATATACTATTCGTTTAAACTCTGATTATTATTAATGAAGTATTATTAGTATTAAGAATTAAATTAAATATAATTTACATTACAAATATATAGTATAATTATGATTAACTAATTTATTTATATTTTAAAAATGGAGTGTTCGCATGAATTGTAGCACGTATCGCCGTCCTTGCAAAAATATTGGTCGAATTATTCACTCTCGTAAGAAAAGATCAAAGTCTTTTTCGTATTATGGCGAAAAAAATACTACTCTATTCACGGCAAACACATTCTTGAAAAAAGTGGATAATTTGCAGATTTGTGAGAATAAGAGGAGAGTAATATGAGAACTGTTGAACTTTTGTACGTTAGTCAACCCAGAGTCGTTCGAGTTTTTGGGGAAACGGATGAAAATTATTGTTTGTATACCTATTTTCGCTGATTCCGGATATTAATAACTCAATTTCAATTAATTAAATTAGTTATGATAAGGTGGGTAGAGTAGTTGTTAGGAAATCCGACTGACATTAATATTAAAGTGCTGTTTTATCCGATTAAAGTTTCTCAACAATAATTACCCCTCTAATCGGTTTCTTTATATCTTATTTAGTTTCCGTTTCATCGTTAAGCAAAATCAGCGCAATTGACATTTTTTATAACTCGGAAGTTACGATAGGGCAATATTAATGTCACTTTGGAAAATATTGTTGCCACGTGGTTGCCACGTTTGTTGTATAATGAGATACCTAATGACGTGTTCAGTTCTCAATGAATTTACTGAAACTGTATCAGCCACAACCATTTTATTTTAGATATTTGACTATTAATCTGTTAATTAATATTCCATTTACATTTAGTGTCTAAGAAGATATATTTATAGGACAATCCACATAGTTTTTTAATTTTTCTGTTATCAAATTCTTTATTTTTACTACTTAGTGAGTCAGTGAAGTCGATACTTTAAAACAACACTATTTTTATTCCATCAAAAACTAGCAAGCATATAAAAGCTTTTAATCGAATCGTTAAGTATGGCAACAGTTTTGATACCGATTTGTAGTACACGTTTTCAATATAAACATTCGATAATTCAAACATAACAATGTCTGAATAATATTCACATATTATGTGAATAATTGAATATTAACCTTATGTCTAATTAAATAAGGTAAATTTTAATTGCATTAGCGAATTGATGGTCTAATAATACACTAGAATGAAATAGGTTAATAATGCAATCGTCAACTCCGGACGGAACAGCTCTAAAGCTGTACATAATAATACTGAATACAACACTCGAGACTCTGGAATATTAACGTATCGTTTAGTTATTTTTTAAAATAGAAGACTCGTTCAAAAGAAATTTAAATCCCACTTCAGACATTCCTTCTGTTCAAAATATGAAATTACCTTGTATATCCGTCTACCCTGAATGCCAAGTGGGTCTTGGTCGACTTCAATGATCTTTCTATTCTGAAGGATCGCTTTGTACTCCGGCCTGATCGTCCTCAAGTCCACACTCATTAGCAGAGGCGCTGCCAGGATTGCCCAGATCGCAAACTGGGTTTTGCTCTGCTCGTAGGATAGGCCGAAGTTTCCGATGATCAACTGGAATTTAGACAGTACAAGTTACAAATATAGCTCAAAAGTTATGTGCATCCGTCGTTATATATTATATAACAATAAACATATATTTAATTCTATATTGCACAAATAAATGTCATTAAAAATTACAAGTTACAAAGGACATATACAAAGGTGAGAGTTCTCTAGAAGAGATCTTTTCCAGCTAAGTCCGCGGGACATTATTGTACGATAAAATTATTAAAATTCAAATGTAAATAAATTTTTCAACGACGACATTATAAATATGGCTGAAATATAAACTTTACATACATAAATACATACAAACACATGTATGTCTGTTATTGATTAACGTCTGAATTTAACAGGAAGAGTTCTTTTAATTTTGCGTTTGAATGATGCTTGTTCATAAAAATAGAATGACATGTAAATATGTTACAAAAGTCACTAAGTACACAACATTTAAGTATAGTAGAACTTATGTACTATGTGACTATAGTAGTGAAGTCAGTGCTAAAGAGTTCAGAAAAAAATATATAAGTAACGACGGTAATTAGGCTGAGAACACCGAATGTGAGAGTGGCCGATAAATAGACGCGAGGCGGTTGATATTCCATTTCAATCTCGAAGGCGGTTACAAAGTGTACAATATTTATCTACCTATTATTTTTTATATTATTTGTTTCATATATTTGATTCATCCGGATTGTAGCCCAATAGAGGTATTGTTTTAAATTCCGAATAAACGTATCGAAACTCGCATCTACACACAATAAGTGTAAAAACTTTAGTAACTCTGCACTTGGTGAATTTATCGAAAAAAAAAACATACATGAGAAAAACGATGCAAATAAATTAACCTGTGTTTTTACGTCCTAATGAAATCGTAAATTTTATAGAGATATATATTACTTTACTTTTTATTAAACACAACATTTGAGTTATACATTAAAATATATTTTTATTTATCTGTGTAAGTCTAATTTTATTTACCTCTTTTTACGTGAAAAAATTTAGAAGGACTACAATAGAATCTGCGATCATATTGAATATGAAAAATAAAAATGAAAGTAGTTTTTAATTCTTTTTCTCGAAACTTAATTAGAGTTTACGATTAAATCTTCCTAGTAGGTATCATCTACCTGTAACAGGAAGACGTGTGTCTTTTTGTGTCCTCCAATATTCTTTAGTATACAGAAATAAACCATAATTAGTTTCTATAATGTACTAAAAATTATTATAAATTAAAGAATTTGAATATTTGTTTATATAATATTTCATGAAGTAATGATAATAATAATAATAACAGCACACACTATCTCTAACATCACCCATTAGGGTGTTCCCAAGATAATAATAACAAAAATAATAATATGGGTACATTAACGGTGGAATATTTTCTCCGTTTCATCGTAGTCAATCGATACCATCGAGTATATAACCAAAAATAGAGACCTAATGTCATTTAATTTGTTTGAAAACTATTCTGCCATATCATTACCGTGACAACTGCGTTCCGATTGGCTAGCCCGAGTTCGAAACAATTGACGGGTGTCGTCAACTGTTTCACTTCAAATCAACCAGTTAACTTGAGCTTTGCAATAATGGACGAAAATTGCAAAATACATATTTAATATTTAATTAACCATGAAATGTTATTCCGTTTGTTTTGTAATTAGATGTTTTGCTGTTTTTCCCACACCACCGAATAGAACAGCACGGCATTGTTACAGATATTATCTTTATTACAATAAATACAGAATATTTTTTGGAATATACGGAGACACACAGGTCACACAGGTTAGTAGATGGCCTGTCTATATTTCAGTGCAAACGAGAGTTGATGTTTATAAGAGATGATGTTTACAACTATGGCACTGTAGATGGTAAATATTTTTTTTTAGGAAATGAAACTATTTTTCCGGATTTAAATCGCGTATATTTATTTTTTCAAACAAACCGACGTTTCGGGCCCTTTACAGGTCCCATGGTCACGGTTGACTTTGATTTTTTTGTTTATAGTATTACTGGTCTAACATGACGCATCCGATAAGAGTACGCAATGTAGATTGCCGAGGAGTTATTTACATTAAGCAACTAAATTCAGTGTCATTTTGTAGTGTTAGAAAATGAAGATTTTTGCGCGGAAAATTATTATTGAAAACCAAGAAACTACCTAAGTACGAACATTTTGATGTATTTGCATAAAACTTTGATATTTTGAAATTGTTACTGAGACTAAACTAAGCATATTTTTTTTAAAACAAATTTTGTATGAAATCGCCCAAAAACTTGTCTAGATGTCAAACTGCAAACGATTATGGTCACTTGCAACATATGGGGTTAGTAGCAGTTTTATTCTGAAATGGCTGAAATGTGCAAGAGTACGCAAATCGACGTGCTGCAAGAGTACGCGCGTAGTCTCATACTATTTTTATTAGAAAAGTGTACTTCTGAATAAAATTTCTGTCGCTATGCCTCTTTCTAAATCAATTGAAATCTTTTGCCACAGTGTAGTATTTTTAAAGGCTTAACAGACCTGAGGCATGTGCTCCGAATGTGTCTGAAATATCGGCTGCATGTGCGCCTGAAGTATCATCACCACTGTAACTGAGGTATGTCCGTGCCACAAGTAGCCTCTTCTCAGCTCTCCATGAGCAAAGGCCCTTGCATACCGAGACAAAAAATCACATTACCAGATAGGTACGGAGGTGATTCGTGCAACCGATAAACGAAGTCCTATCAAAAAAGGTGTTGCGTACTCTTTCCGACGCACATGCGTACGCAAATCCCATTTTGTACTTTTTTATCAATTAAAATCACACTATTAAATATAACTACTTTTCATGATAGTACCTATGTAAGAGTCAGATAAGTAGACTATAAAATAAAACAATAGCGGATTTTCTAACAATTTTTGTTTTCATTCTACACGGTCCACAAACCATAAGTGCGTCGTCTTAAACCAGGCTACCCTACATATACGTGCCGAATTCACTGTAAATTGCTTATCAGCAAACAATGATTTGGAAATTGGCTGAGAAGCAACTGTCAACAACAACAACAACAGTCTACGGGACATGAGTAAAGGGTTAAAAGTAATGGACATAATGTAGTTTTAGTACAACGAAATAGTTTTCTTGCCGCAGTGCTCTTATTGATTTAGTATAAAATGTTCAACGTATGTAAATCATTCAATTTTGGCAGTATTTTGTTGATACTTCTTTATTCAAAAGCAGTAGACGGAAAGCACTTGCAAACCGCACCCTGAAGCCCGTAGTTGGGTTTTTGAGATCCATATCGCGAAACGGGGTAGCCCGCCCGTACTATCATAATGTAACATTTAACTTTACAGTAAACGCTGTAACTATCCATGAACGGGTTAGCAAAGATCCAAAAGCTCACCATATCTGGATCATTCCAGTGGCCAGGACCGGCGTTCGGTACGATGGCATCTTGGTGGTTTCCGTAGTAGTCTATAATAGACTCGACGGAAGCCCACGAGTCCTGGATGTCGTCGAAATTACGCCACAGGTTGCAGTGTTCGATGATCGATGAGAAATTCGGCTAGAAAACATAATATTTTTATAGTAAATATAGATAATAAACAGAAACAAAGAAATATATGATAAAAGTCCACCAAAAAAGAACACCAGACTTATTTTACACACTTATTTAACTACCAATCTAAGAAGATACTTCTTACTCCACACCACTGATTTTTACCAAAAGGAAGTAAATTTTTTAAACTGGTTTAGGAGCTGTACACTCGTAAATAGTATCTACTTAATTACGGCCGTTTTCCCTCTATGGATGACCTATAGGATTACTCTCAAACTTCG